TTGCTGCACCGTATCGGAGGCAGTACGGCTTTGCGACATCAGCGAATCCCGTTATCTCACCACCCCGTTTCATGCGATAGCTCAGCCAGCCCCGCGTAAGTTGCTGGTCAAGGGCGATTCGAATTCCATCGGGTTCCCGCAATGCTTGGCAGAACACATAGCTATCAAGAATTTCGTCTTTCAGCTTTAACTCCTGCTGGCCAAGTCCATCTAAGACACCAAGACTGTACAATTTCTCGGCGGAGTCCAACGTGGGCCCATTTGTAGAAAGAGTTTTGAAAGCCTTGATCTTTAACAGCATACCCAGCAAAAAGATATGTGGACTCAGGACCAAAGTAGGATCGAAGATAATTTCTGGAAGTGGGAAGGTGTTTCTATGATGAATCATAAGCAGACTGGTATGAGGACAATTCATGGGAGCTGGCCTTGCGATGGGGCGGGAGGTGGCTGAAGAGAGGGAAGAGGGAGGAGAAGCAGGGAAAAGAAGCATAAAGATAAAATAAGGTGAGGTTTACTTACGACTCTTTCTCTCCAAGAAATGTCTTTGTGAACTCTGGTGTAAGATAAATGAAAAGTCGAGGACGGCTTCCATTTGGATCCCGAATCAATGTCAACATCAGGTCTCGGAAGCGTAGTCTCAGTAGCGCTCCGGGGCGACTACCAGTGATAGCTGCCAGCTGACAGAAAAGAAGCAACTGTACCCGGTACCACCCACAAGGAAAAGTCATCTCTGTCGTGCATAGGATCACTCGGGCAAACTCAGCCACGTCTTCGATATACATCGTCGCTTTCGGGCGGGGTTTGAGAGAAAGATTCTCCTCTTTCGCGACTATTGCCAACACCTACAGAAGGTTAGCTAGGCACAGAGGTCAATATTCAATCTGGGATCTCACATCGCGGATTTTGACCTGGATATCTCCGCTAAGCCCATGTCCAACTTTGGCCTTGTAAACGAGATGCCACCACTTCCAGAATGCGTCCAGGGAGCTTTTGTTTTTCAGCCCTGAGGCATGGCGTCCTTTCTTTCCACGTCTCTGTCTGCAACGCCAGGAGAATAGCGCCTTGAGGAAGCGCACCGATTCTTCTGTATCAGAGAGTCGAGACAAACATTCCACCGGATCGAGTTTCGCGCCTTTACAGAACCTAGACCAATTAGAATCTCAGGGCTGTGAACAGGTGAGCAACGTCTTACCTTTCCCAGTAATCTCGAGTTTCATCCAATCTCTCTTCAGTTTTCGGACTATACCGTTTCTGCCGAAGCTGAGAAACGTCCAGGGACTCCGCCTCCTTGAGAAAATATTCTGGTGAGAGTTCCTCATCGAATTCAGACTCATCCTCGGATTCATCTTCTGCTTCGCTCTCGAATTCAGAATCACTTGGCGTGCTCTCGGTATCGCTGTCGGTGTCAGAAGCGTTGGTCGAGAAGATCGCGGGAATGTCGTCAGAGCTAACATCGCTCTCATTGTCGGACAGAGTGCGACTGGGGCGAGGCATGGCGATTCAGTGGTCCGGGCGAGGGAATGAAGATAGAGGTAAATTACAGAGTTGAAGGGAATAGCAATGGACGAAGCTGTCACCCCTCTCATTGAAGTCTTCCGAGTCCCGCAATCGACCCAAGAGTTGTGAGACTGCTGGGGAGAAAAGATCGATTGAGGGCCATGGCAGTCGATATTTATAGGCGAAATAATGCAGGGAAGGGACGATTCCCATCAAAGGAGCCATGGTTGGCAATCCAGTCCGCCAGGAGGGAGACGGCGGAGGAGCGAGGATAGGGTCCTGCGGTCGCCACGGTACGAATGAAGAAGGTCTGGAACGGTGGATCCAGGCACCAGGCACAGCGGATATGCAGCGCGGGTGGCAGTAGGGCTACGGCCGTGGGCTTTATTTCACGTGATCCTCGGTGAGCAAGCGGCCTAAAACGGCGTCCAAAGCAGCCGTTTCTGGCCTCCCATTCACCGTCTCATGCATATTGGTAGTTATTATTTTTGGTATATGGCTTTCAAATATATTTTTAATTATATTTTTAGTAAGTATATCAGCAATATTATCTTTTGAGGGTATCGGTACTAGCTTTATTTGGCTATTTTGTATAGCGTTCCTAGTAAAATGATATATTATATCAATATGCTTTGATCTCTTATGGAATTCAGGATTTTCAGCTAATTTTTTAGCTCCTTCGTTGTCTATTAATATTATTGGTATAGTATTAGTATAACCTAAATTTAGATAATCATTTATATATATAAGCATATTATTCAGATATATTGCTTCTTTTGTAGCTTCTTTTAATGCCATATATTCAGCTTCGCAGCTTGATAAAGCTACTGTTTTTTGAAGCTGACTATTCCAGGATATAGGATTAGTTAGGCCTAGATCACTACCTAGGCTAAATATATAGCCAGTAGTAGATCTTCTATTATTAATATCATTTGCCCAGTCACTGTCACAATAACCTTTAATATATAGGTTATTACCTGAGCAGTTATATATTAGACCTTTATTATTATATTTTAGTATATAACACCATATATAGTGTATAGCCTTAAAATGTTCTTTACTAGGATTTGACATAAACCTAGCACAATATGATACAGGAAAGGCTATATCAGGTCTTGTTTTTAGGGCTAAATATAGCAGAGAGCCTATTTCTTTTTGATATTCTTTTATATCAGTATTACTAGCAGTAGTAGTATTTTTTATTAATTTTATTCCTGGTTCTCCAGGTATATCTTTTGGTTTGTATGTATTATTGTTATATATGTTAAATTTAGATAATAATTTATCAATATATTTTGTTTGATATATATATAGCTTTTTAGCCTTATAATCAATATATATATCATTACCTAAAAATGTAGTAATTTGACCTATTTCATCTAATTCAATAGATTTATTTATATTGTTTTTTAAGGCTTTTATATAGGATAGATCTTTATGCAATACTAGTATATCATCAACGTGACATATTAGTATACAATTATCCTTTTTATTTATATATATTCCTTCATCATATGGAAATACCTCAAAATCTAGTAATTCCAGTACTGATTTTAGGTATTGATACCATAGTCTAGGGGATTGTTTTAACCCGTATAATGCTTTATTAAGTTTTGCACATTTATTATTATATTTAGGATTATTATATAATCCTATTGGTAATATAGTATATATATCAGCATCTATATTAGCATGGCAGAAAGCGTTTTTAACGTCATATTGCCATATATATAGGCCTTTATTAACAGCTATTAGTAATAGCATATGCCATGATTCTGTTCGGCATGTTGTTGAAAAGGTTTCTAGGAAATCTATTCCTAATCTTTGATTAAAACCTTGTATAACCCATCTAGCTTTATATCTAATAGTATTATCACTATTAGTAATATGACTAGTATTATTGGCTGTTCTGTTTATAGTAGGTTTCATCTTAAAAACCCATCGGCCATTTATAGGGGTTATATTATTAGGTATATCAACAATATCCCAGGTCTTTTGGCTAACTAGGGCATTATTTTCAGCTATACAGGCCTTTTGCCAATATAGGCTATCAGGGCCTTCTAGGGCCTGTTTTAGTGTATTAGGCTCCTTTATAGTAGTTATAGTTAAAACAAAGTTTAATACACTACTATATATAGGCCTATATATAGCTTCTACTGCTGTATCAGACAGAGTATAGAGTATATTATTATTGTTATTATTATAGTATATATTATTTTTTATTGGTATTTGAACCTCAATTTTATGAGAGGGATCCTCTGCTATTTTTATATATTCTGTTGCTCTTGTATTCATCTTATGTATTAAAGGTTTGGGGTTTAGGGTTTTCAGGGTAACCCTTTTATTATTGTTTAGAGATATATTAGTTATATTATCCTTAATACTATCAAAATTATAGTATTTATTTTCTAGGATTGTAATATCTCTTGATATTATTGTAGTCCTTTTATTAGGTATATAAAGCTTATAGTGGCCATAATCAGTATAGCCTACTAATATAGCCTTTTCCTGCCTAGGTTCTAGCTTAGTTATTTGCTTATTAATAGTATAATAAGCAGTAGAACCCCATATTTTTAATTGATTATATATATCGATAGAGGGTTTTGTTTTATTATATAACTCATAGGGTGTTTTAAACCCTAGAGCACTATGTGGTGTTCTATTATATAAATAGGTAGCTGCCAATAAGGCTTCACCCCATAGGTATTTAGGACAATTACTATTGGCCAGCATTGCCCTTACCTTATTTAATAAGGTAAGATTTATACGCTCTATTAGGCCATTAGGCTCCTTTGTATAAGCAGGACTAGTATTATGTATAATACCATATTTATTTGTTATATTTTTAATTGGTTTATTAATATATTCTTTACCATTATCAGTAAATAGTTGTTTTATATTTATACCAATTTGATTTTTTATTAAGGCTTTTATCCTTTTTAAAGCTGTTATTGCTTGGTTTTTATTTTTTAATAATATAGTAAATAGATAGCGGGTTTGCTTATCTAGAAACGTTATATAATATATATAGTTATTATATGTTTTTGGTGTTATAGGACCACCTATATCACTATGTAGTCTTTCTCCTCTTCTATAGAGTGTAGTATTATTAGACCTTTTATTTATATATCTTTTTGCCTTAGATCTTAGGCATATATCACAGTTTTTAACTATTTTATATAAGTATTTGTCTGATATTTTTATATTTATAATATTACTTAGTATTCCACACGACGGCAAGCGGGGGGGGCAGAAACGGCCGCCATTCGCCTCTCCGTCCTGCCGCCCGTGACCGCCTGCCTGTACCCGTAGGGGCCCTGCCCTTTCCGGTATCGCGTCAGTTGTGGTCGCCCCATCCGGCTTAGCGCTGCAGTCGCCGCTTTTGCCGACCCTGCCATCTATAAAAGACCGCTCCTCCTCATCTGCGATTCTCCCACGCACCTTCACCTCTTCCTGCCCTCACAACTTGGTTGAACCCCCCCTTTCTTCGTGCCCCACTAATCTCAAACCTGCTGGATCTGGTTGCCTAACATACGCCACTTTTTACTTGACCGGAGATGTCGCTTGACCAGGAATTCGGATCTCGTTTCGGCCAGCTTTCGTCGCGACTTGAATCCGCGCTCTATGATCTCTGGCCAGAAAAATATATCATCAAAGCAGTACATTACTGCCCTGATATGTTTATCCTTAGGATTGACAGGGAGATTCCCTTGGAATATTGCTTTGAACCGAGCTGCACTGCCAGGCTCTTGTCTCACTCCCAAGCTTAAGGTCTCATCGATTTGCGCAACCTTCGGCGGGCTTCCTTGCTTTGCAGTAATTGTCGGATTTTTCGGACATACCACTGAAGACCGTGCCGCTCTCGCCACCTCGAGGTTGCATTGCACTGCCTCTCCCATTATCTATCGCCATTATCTGTCGTGGATGCGGCGAGACCCGGTGGATCGGGGGTTTCGCCGCCGTTCGTGCTGCTGTTTTCCGCCAGTTATGACGAATCGCGGAGCACATTCACATGGAGTATTGGCAACAAATGCCGCATGTGCATTCGGCGGTGGATTTCAGGATTGGAGGGGCGATTGCCTCGATTCAGGCAAGGCTACGACAACCGCATGCGCTAGGAAACGGGGACGGAGATCGCGGACATCTGACCGAAATGCTCATGCCTCCGACTGGTATGCGAGCTGGCCTGTGAGCCTAGGTGGATCAAACCCAAAGGCAAGACAATGACCTCTTGAGCTGATGTATAAAAGGAGCGCAACACCACCACTTTGGCACTCCAGCAACCCCAAACCCTTCTGCCCCAATACCCATCCCCCTCTCACCCTACACCAGAGTAATTCTTTCCCCAGCCCCCCAATCCCCATTCCCAGATCTCAGTGCAGTTAACTTTCCTTTGCTCTCGCTCTTGCTCCGTTTGAAACACCCTGTGACACCAACCATTTTGAATGCTCATTTGTGCGTGACCTGACAATGTCAAACGAATCGTTTCGTTTGGAATCTTTCCGGCCTTGGAATCCCCACGAGAAACCGCTCTCTCAACAAGGCCCTCTGGATCTCCGTCGCTATCCAAGTCCTGTCTCACTCAATGCCACACCGTCTCCGAACAACTCAAAAGACTCGACAATCCATTCCCAGATTCCTCACGTCCCTAAGCTTGAGCGGCATCCCCTTCCGGTACGGCCGCCAATTGAGGTTTGTGTCGATGAGTCTTCACAATCTGTCGACCAGAATATTCGGAAGCCAGATTTGGATGGCGAGATGTCGCCCGTCAATCAAGATTCGGACAACCTTGATTTTGAGGAGATTTTGCATTTGGAGAATCCACCAAGCTGTGGACACATCGGTGATATGGTTTTTGATTCCGTCGATGAGCATTTCGAACAAAGGACTCGCATTGGATCATGTGACCTCGAGCCCTCCTTCACGCCTGATCAGGTTTCTCAGTCTATGGTATTCCAAAACCCCACCCCACCAGGCATGGAAGATTTTGCAAGTGATTTGACAATAGACCCGGCGATGTTGGAGGACCACCACTGCCGAGCTGGAGAACAACAGAACACTACAGAATCCGCACCTAGTTGCACAACCCGCGAGGCAGGCTCCCCCGTGGTCAACCATCCCTGGGCTACAGATGATGGCAGTTCTCGTGGCAGACAGTGCCACTCGCCGAAAGCCCCTGGTCGGCGGTCATCTAAAATCCAGAAAGTGTCGGTCGTCATCAGCAATCACCAAAAGGATAAGCACGGAAAATCGACTCGACGACCTGGTCATCAGGAAGCTTCATTGTCCACAATTCTTGCACAATTTTCTGCACTTAAAGCGGAGGACCGACTACAATTCTTGTCTTGGCTGTTTGAGGGTGCATTGTCTCGTTGTTTGCCTCGCCCGGGGGAAGTCAGCACGAAATCACGATCCATGCCAAGTGACAATGTGTCTTCATCCAGCACTCAAAATGCATCAGCTGACTCATGCTCATCGCGAAAACGTCTACGGTATTCTGCGGAGGAAAATTACCTCTTGATACAACTCAAAGAAAAAGAAGGCCTCCGATGGGAAGAAGTAATCAGGCGTTTCGATGAAAACTACCCAGGGAGGAGTCCGCAGTCTATCAAGGTGCATTGGAGTACAAAGCTATCCAAGAGAAAGTCGTCTGGACTGTGTGTGACTCGTGATTGAGGGCCTTAGGCATGAATTTAAATCCGCTTCCAATGCATTTCAGTGTGGGCTATTCTCCCAGGGAGATAGAAAAGATTTGAGGATGTCTCCCTTAGTATCATCCTTTTGATGAACCTGTTTTTGTTGACATGCCAGTAGGCGAATGTGCATAACGCCCATGTCAAATTCCCAAATTTACTCCGGGTAAATAAATGATTTAATCCTTTTGCTGCTACATTTATGAAAAAAGTAGATCTATGATTTAAGCTGAGCCTTAGTTGAATATAGCTCCTGATAGTGAAGGCCGATTGAATAGCAAAATACGGGTGTCGCTGCATTCAGGTGGTGGGAGTGGATTTTTTATACTATCCCAGTTAGAGACACAATCACAATGTGGGGGAGCTTGCATGAATACATTTGTATGGCTGTTGGTTCACTTCTATCTAATACATAGCACAGTTGACAACGGCGACATCAACTAACGACTCTAAGATATCTCTTTGATACTGAGGCATAATATATTAACAGTCAATATCCCAGGCGGGCTCGGGACAATCCTCGGATCGTCGTTCGGTTTATCTCTATCATTTGGATTTGGATTCTTGTTATGAAACTATGTTTTCTCTTCCACTACGGCTAGTCCATCTTGACTTCAGCTTCGGCGACCCGACATTGATTCGGGATCTACCCATCTGACGGAGTATGTTCAGTCAAGCTTTGGCCGTGTTGTGGAAAATATCGCAACACATCAACGAAGCTGAAGGATTCCCCATTTCAATTTTTTCGAAGAATCTAGTCGACCTCGTCGAATTACATGCTGAGAAATTTACAAGAACCTCGTGCACATCACGAAAACACGTCCAAGGATATGCAAGTTGAAGAATATCTATCAACGACTCTTACTATGGCCACAAGTACAGATATGGCAGTCTTCTGAATATTGGATCCGACCCCTTTCTGAGATGCCATAGCCAAATCTTTGAAACTCATCGCCTCACATGAAAGCGACCGGTGATACGGCAGCTATCTTCAAGCATCGTTTTCTCGGACCAATTCCTCTTCCTGTCCTTGAAGAAAGTATGTCAATCTGATGCTTGATGAGTACTTTATCGCGTTTCTTAAGCTCAGAAGGTCCCTGATACGGGAATCACGACAAAGAGATCGTACTATGGCTTCGTGTCCTTCTCGCGCGGCTAGTTGAAGGGCGGTTTCTCCAAAATTATTTTCAGCCTTGCAGTTCAGCCTTTCATCTTGGAGCAAGAGTTCCACAATTTCCAGGTGCCCATTCAGTGCTGCCACCGACAAAGCAGTGCTTCCAAGCAATGTAGCTGAGTTCACATCGATTCCATTACCCTGGTCAATCAACAACCTTGCAATCTCTATATGGCCATTCTCGATTGCGATGTAAAGAGGAGACTTATTCCAGACCGGTTTGTTGACGTCCATATCATTGCGATCTAGAAGCCTACGTACGATCTCCAAATTCCCCTTTTCGCAGGCATAGAAAATGGGCGAGGCATTCCGAACATTCAGCGCAATATCTGGCCTCGTGAGAAGTACCTCCAGTAGTCGTAGACTGCCAATTAATGCAGCGTATACGAGAGGAGTCCAGCCACACCTATCGCGAACATTTGGATCTAGCTTCTTAAAATCGAGGAGAACACAAACGAGCAGAATGTTGCCATTTCGCACAGCATAATGAAGGGCCGTTTGCCTGTGTCGGCAGAACGCGTTGATGTCAGCTGACTCTTCGGATAAAATTTGCAAGGCCACAGATTGTTGGTTCCCACGAACAGCAATACATAGCGGCGTGGACTCGTCTGTATCACGAGTATTGATTTCGATGCCTGGAAAGGCCAGCAGGATCTTCACGATCGATTTGTGCCCGTACTTTGCTGCCAAATGTAGCGCTGTTGTTCCCCTCACATCGGCAGTGCTAATAGAAATCATATTATATCCAAGAATCATTTTCAGAACATCACCGTGTCCTTTCATGGCTGCCTGATGAAGCAGACTCTGACCCTTTCTGTTTCTGATGTGGAGGTTTGCTCCGTAGGAAATCAATATTTGGACCATTTCCTTCGATCCTTTGCGCGTGGCAATAAATAGTGGATGCTCATAGCTACTTAGGCCATCCAGGTTTGCCGCCGAAGGCTTCGTTTTGACATGGTCAAGCAGCATGGTAAGAATGGTATTGCTCTGATTCAAGATAGCTAGGTTGATGGGGTCGATTCCTTTGCAGTCAGCTGTAAAAGTATCAACCCCCCTGTCCAGGAAGGACCGAACCAAATCCTTATCCTGATGGGCGGTAGCATACCAGATCGCATTTCGGGCCTTGTTATCCCGAGCAGTCACTTCTGTATCAGAGTACCCCAGAAGATCTCTGGCTACAGGTAAAAACTTCCTTTGGAGGGAGTACAGTAATGGCGTTTGCTGATGATCATCTCTCCAATTGAGATCTGCGCCGCTTCTGATCAATGAACGAATCATTTGATACCTTTCTGTTCGAATACCTGGAACATAGAATAGCGGTGTCCGAAATCTATCATCCGTTGTGTTTGGGTTTGCCTGATACTCTTCGAGTAGGGTTTTCGCGAGTTTCGACTGGTTGTGCTGGATGGCCCAGATCAGAGCAGAGCTATTCTGACAGCGGACATTGAAGGCGTAGAGAAGCGGTAGGAATAGAAGACTTGATCGCTTATTTAATTTTGCCATTGAAAGCAAATCCTGTGACGCATCTAAAAGGTCTGCTAGATAGAAAAGTAGTTCCAGGGGAAGAAAAAGAAGCACCATCTTGTTCAATGAATAATAAAACTTGTTGACTCTCCGAAATATTTCACTTCGTCCGCTATATGCGGCTTAAGAATGAGCATATGGTGGAAATTTTATGGAGTTTTCGCAGCGAGGTCTAACAATTGCGATTGTGATAAGTAGGGCAGTACGTTTAGTATTTATCTTATGTCCTGGGGATAGAAATTAAAATGCAGTAGAACCGTCCAGACTCCCGTTACTCCTGGGAGCAGGGGTGGCTTCTAGGATCCATGCGTGCATTTTCGGTGGATTTACACGAAGAATTTGAAGTAGGTAGCGTTGACACATACTGTATGTTGCTAGCAAGCTATCCTTTTTTGGACCACGCGAATGCAATCTTGTCTTGTTTACTTTATGCTGCCATGCCTGACAGGAAAAATCCATGCTCATCCAAATATGTGGCGATTTTGATCCAATAATTAACTCAACGCTGATTTTTGTAGACTAGGTCAAGGAAACAGAAGCCTCTTCAGTGTTGATAATCAATAGATCACCATCTTCGATAATTAGCTCCAGCCAGAAAAAAGGCACAAACTATTAGCCACATAGAGGCAGTCAAAGGGGGAGCAGAACCATTGGATACGTTCGTAGCCAAAGCCGGACCAAGCGGTTTGAATATCCGTAAGCTAGGTGTAGTAGTGACTGTCGGCGGCACGGTCGGGAGCGGGAATGTTGGAAGTATCCATGTCAAAGGAAGGTCTGTCTTCTCTAGGTATTCGGCTTGTTCAGCTTGAGATCCTTCCCGAGAAGGATCTGTTCGTGCATGATACGGTTTTGGAAGTTGTTCGCTCTGGGCATCGTTTCGTAGCAAAATTCTCATATATCTAATTGTCTTCTATCAGTCACGTTTCAAATTTACTTCCTTATGCAGCTTACTGGCTTTGCGCTGGTTCCTGCGTCTTGAAGCCTGACATAGTGAAGTAATATCGCAGCACAATTGGAAGCTCTGGCGGACAAGAAATTTGTATGAATCTATCGGATTAGGTAATTTATGTCCTCGAAGAGGAGGACGGAGCATCCGATCTTACAAGAACTAAATAGTTTTATAACTCAGTCAATTGAATTTGAAATAGATTTTTTCTAAGAAATAAAGGGCTTCACCATATTCAGCGTTTGATATTGATCGAAACGAGCATAAAGGTGCGGAAACGTTTCCCATAACTTTCATCAATAATCTCTGTCTTAGTGAATACGTTGAAAAAATCACACCGTGTATGTAATGACACCTGCAGTCTCATTAAAGTGAGATTAATATCTGATTACACACAATATGACCTAACTAGTTACGAGATGTTGTTGGCCTTAATTTCCAAGCCGGTTTGGGCCTGTGAAAAAAAGTACAGTTCCACCTTCAAGGGCTTGACATTCTTTGAGAAAATATTTCGGCACATCCTCCTAGGACAATATGTTCTTGAGTGAAATGGATGATTTAAATTCTTCTGAAAAATTAAGAAGAATACAAAACCAAGTATTACTAATCATTTCGAGAAAGCAAACACTAAGTCTAGTAACTTACACCAGCGCGACAATGGTCAAAGACAGTGGGTGATGTGGTCACGATCAGGAAAGTGAAATCAATACATGTATAGGTGGCGATGAGAGATCAGATAATACGAATTTTAATTCCAAGAAAGACTGCTATCTATCTAACTCACTAAATACTGTTGCTTCATTCATTCTTTGATGTTCAAATGACTTGAAAAAACGACGCGGTATATCAAAGTGTAAAGCTGGAAATCCTTCGCAATTAACTGACAGAAATGGAAGTCTTCTCTGGCGCGTGGCTGGGACCTTCTCCAGAGCTTCTCACTGTCTCCAGATAGACATCATAAAGCGCTTCAAGCTCTACTTTTCGCTTCTCTTTCTCTAGATCGCTGAGCTTTCCCCATTCGTCACCCTTCATTTTCTGCTCCATGAATTCCTCTTTGGTTTTGATTGCACTTTTATCAGACTGCAGATTATCTAACTGCTGCCGGAAGCCGTTGGGAGTTTCAGTTTTGATTTTGTCAGCATCCCGGCCTTGATTTTCTTTTCGATCTTGTCGGTATTGCTCTATCGTCATCTCAGGTGGGCAGGGAGTCGGCGAACGTTCATAGACGCTACGTCCTTGAGAATCAAACTTCGGGGCAACTCCCTTCTGGTAATCTGCAAAGCGTTTCTTTTGATTTTCCCAGATCTCGTTCGTCTTTTCCTCGCTTGCTTTCTTACCACCCCAGAAGCGGACAAGCTCGGTTTTCGGCTCCCAAGAGCACCCCCTCACCAAGTTCTCATCGTCGCCAGACCCGATATTCTTCCATTTAACTTTCATCCAGGTAGACTTTCTTTTCCCATTGCTACACACAATGCCATAAATTCCCACGAAATTCTCCCTTGTGTATCGAGGGATCATTTTGCCTGAGGGCTCTTTGTCCTTCAGTCGAGAAATTCGCGCTGCTTCGTCTGAAATGTAGACTTTGTCAGGATCGGAGTAGCCTTTTCTCCGTTCGAAGCGGTAAGAGGCGTATTTGAAAGGTCCATCTTGGATGATGACAAAAGACGAGCCATTCAGGGTTCCCCATCCATCTATAACGACATCTTCATCATACTCTTTGTCTCCGCTGCTCTTGCTACCCTTCTCTTTCTTTCCTTTTGGGGTGAGAACTGCCAAGCAGCCATCTTCCAATTGGTCTGGAGTAGATACCTCGTTCTGGAGAGCTTCTCTTTCGACAGATGAACCCTGATGAGCGTTATGTTTGTTGCGTCGCTCCTCTGCCTCATGAGAGACCTCATGTTCGCTCGAGCGAAGCTGACTTTTATCAGCAGACTTGGGGTCCAGATAATCCATTTCGACGTCTTCTGTGTCGTTCGGCTCGTTTATAACCACCTGAGGCGACGGAGATATTGCGCTTTCTTCGGGGGCATTGTGTGGCGGAGGCTGATCATTGTGAATTGGTGCTTGGCCCTTGTTATCCAAAATATCAGATAGTTGGTCGTCGGCGCCTACTTTACCACATGAAATAGTCCCGTCTTCTATTCCTTTTCCAAATTTTTCGAATCTCTCCACGGTGTCTTTCTTATCCTCTTTTGAGAAGAACTTTTTTATACCGTTGTCTTTCTGACTTTTCTGCGCCTCGTTTGACTTTTTCTCCCGCTGCGGCGCCATATTAAGCTGAATGGTCCAAAGTATATGAAATTAGATTGATGAGGAAATGAAGATGAACTTGTCAGGAGGGCTATGGCTGCATCTATTTATACTTCTAAAATAATAGATCCACTGCAATCCGTGACTATATAATCCCCTCAGATTTACTTATTGCTGCCCTTCCTTTTGCATAAATTCAACGCGATACATCACTTTGTCCCCTATATGTACTTATATAATTCCCTCAACTACTGAAATCCCCTGCTGCAAATACTTTGCTATTGAGTAGGATGGACGCTTAGCATGTTTACTATAAAATCTGAGAGATGTATCAAGTTTTGACCTACTTCAGAAAGTTTATTATAATATACAACAAGCATGTGGCCTAACTCAATTATCATTGAAAGAGGGAGGCACTCAAAGATAGTACATAGTGGGCTTAATTGCAGGTATTCGTTTAAGTCAACTAATGAATACTAAATGGCCTTCGCTCAGGGCAATGGCTGTCATCAAGTTTTGACTTTTCTATACAGTACAATTTTCATTATCGTTAATTTCTAAATATCAAGATATAAATCACATACCTCCAGTAATCTCCAAGGATCCAAAAGAAAATAAAAATGAGATGAGTCAAAATACGCAGATGAAGAGGCCCTCAGTCAGCCAAGACCATCCTATCACCAAAAATAGGGCATTATAGGCAGATGTTCAACCTCATCGTAGAACTTCCAAAATATTACATAGTGGGGCTCAAAATAATGAGTTCCGGCAAGGTAATTAGAATGCTGAGGCTTCTTTGTAGCTTATACTTTTCATTAAAAACTATATTGAAAATTGCATGTATAAGCCCTTGAAGACTTCTTTCCGTTCTCGAGCCACGAAGCTGCTCATGAGCATGTCAAGCAGTACGAGGATTGGCCATTTGTGGTACAGTATTACTGGAAGTCTAGAACGGTTGAATGGACCAGGAGTACAAAATGACTTTCTTCCGAGGCCTTCTTTTTGGCTATTACAAGAAGGATGTAGAATTTATTGTAACTTCGCCCGCGCTTTGAAATTTAGAAGTGGTTACATTATTCCCAGTATTAAGTCATAGCATGTAACAGTCATTGACACCGTTGTATTCCAAGCTTTATATACTTGGTTACTCTGCATTATTCTTTGTATCAATTAAATAAAGCTGATTCAGTTCAATCATACTATTGCACGACGATATTCATCTAGGTACTGCGCCAGATCCTCCCATATACCACTTTCCCGGGCTGTGGCATCGACGCTGGAGGCCAACCTAATCGTTGGCTGGATAGGATTGGTTGTTTCATAATCGCGAGGGGTTTTGACAATTGGGGCCTTGGCTCGGTTTCTCTTTTACGAATCAGTACTTCATGAGCAAATCACTTTGAAATATTGAATCTTCTTTTCGCCCTTACCATATCTTCCGCTGATGGTGGAGTGCTGTTTGGGTGAGAATAGTACGTAACAATTTGACCGTCTGCGAGCTCCATAACCAGCCAGCTTTTGATCCCATACAAAAGCCAAAATTCATTGTGACGGCGAAGCAGGTTGTTACGGCGTTTGCGTAGTTGTTCTTTCTTGACCCGAGTTAGAACAGGGGCCATTTTTGAAATGTATGAGGAAATAATTTAAAGCCAGATTAGCAACTTTATACATGTCTTCTGCACTAGTTCGACATCTGTCCCAGCACAGTGGTGAGCTATAAACACAAAAGAGCTTTCAGAAGCTTTCAACGGTTGTGAACCCCAAGTAAGGTGCAGGCAGTTTTTCCAAAACGAGCCAGATACTGAGGATCAATGTTGAGAGCACAGAATATTTCTGCGGCCGCAAAAATTAAAACCTTTTTCTCCTATTCCAACAAAGTAGTCTCCGGAGATGGAGTTTTGGAAAATCTGGTTTTCTTATAGAATGAATTAAAGCCCGCGAAGCTTGGAAGGACATTTGACGCTTTTCCTTTAGACTTCAGCAATTCATATCACTACTGTCCTTCAGGTCAGGATGCCTCTAATAGGCCATCCAAAACTTCTCTGGAGTAGGTGATCAATGAAAACTAGAAAATGACAGAACGCTCACTGATTTTGAGACTAGGAAACTCAAATATCCAGCATTTATTTCCTGTACATCGCTGTCCGCCCCCCATGATGTCTCCATAACTCGCGCAGCCTTGCTTCCAAACATACCCAGCAAGGAACGAACGCCTCCGTCGGAACATCTTTTCGTGACAACTATTCCTAGTTCAGCTGTTTCCGATATTTCTTTATCTTACTCTGAACCCACTTCTCAAGTTGACTTGGCGTCCAATTTGACGCAACCGAGATACTCTACGACCGCCACTTCATCATATGAGAGTCAGGCACCAACCACTGCAGATGTACACGGTTTCACGCATTCGGCTCATGGCCTCAAGCACTACATATCTGAGACCGATGGGAAACACGTGTTCTCATTGACTTCCCACATCAACCAGGAGCAACAAGCTTTGGATACTCTTGACAAATCTACTTTGGAATTTTGGTCGGAACCTGAGCCGGACTCACTTTCTTTGCCAATGCCCTTACTGTACAGTAAGATGACTGGGGATTCAGGGGGCGTAGTGTTTTGGGACAAAGAAGGCTTGAAAGGCAGTTTATCAGATACGGGGCTGCCTCATACAGCTGGGTTGCATGACGGGGTCTGGAGAAGCGTATCTACATCCAAACAGCATGGAGGCCACTCCGCTCAGTCTACAACATCGATGGATACAGCCACGCTAGGGCAAACGAGCACGAAAGACGGCACCTCTACATCTGCCATCATGACTTCAGCCCGATGGATGTACGATCCAACATCCAGTCGTATCAATTGGTCAATGCGAGTCTCTAAACAGGGTGTGGAATTGATTGTCATGAGCGTAGTTGGAGGAAGCCTGGCATTTATAGGTCTAGTGCTTCTACACCGTCTCATCTCTCGCTCTTTCCAAAAGAAAAATGAGCAATCCAGATACCTTTCTCCCGTCTCGCTGGCGAATAGCTTTTCTAGAGAGGAGTCTAGCACACGTATTTCAGATTTAGCGGAAGTTTCGCATTTCTCAATTGAATCTTAAACGCATATTGATTGATTTTATGTCAAAGGTCATGTAAAATATACGTATGGGCATGATGGGTATCTCGCAACAAGGGCCTTACAATATATGTCGATACATTTTTTTTGGAAACACGAGTTGATGGCTTCGGGAAAACGGATATACAGTATCACAATTAAAAACAGCGCCCCCGGAAATAAGTCGTAATGCAATTGAAATACCGGTAATGTATGTACCGTTACTGGGAAAGATACCGACAACGTCGGGAAGTTGCCTATTCCGGCGAATTGAAGTGGTGAGATATGAACCGGTGAGATGTGAACGGTGAAAAGTAGGTCATTTAAATCTGGATTATTAAGAAGCACTAGTAAGTTTTGGACTGGTAAAGAGTGACTGGTGAAGAGTGACTGGTGAAGAGTGACTGGTGAAGAGTGACTGGTGAAGAGTGACTGGTGAAGAGTGACTGGTGAGGAGTGACTGGTGAAGCTGGTGAAGAAAAAACTGGTGAAGAGAAACTGGTGAAGAGTGACTGGCGAAGAGAGACTGGTGAAGAGTGACTGGTAAAGAGTGACTGGTGAGGAGTGACTAGTGAAAGTGACTGGTGAAGAGTGACTGGTGAAGCTGGTGAAGAAAAAACTGGTGAAGAGAGACTGGTGAAGAGAAACTGGTGAAAGTGACTGGTGACAAGTAAACTGGTGAACAGTAATTGGTGAAGAGTAAACGGGGAAGATTAAACGGTGAAATCGAACTGATGAAGCTAAGATGTTCAAATGTAGGCGAGTGAAGTCGACTGTTGAAAAATAAACCGGTGAGATGTAAACCGCCAAAGATTAAACCGATGGAGGATAAATGGTGAGAGAGGTGATCGAATAGATCAAAGGTTGAATTGGAAATGCGTTGATACAGAAGATATGTAGATTTTTAGAGTAATTCCTGCGGCTAGTTTTACCGAAGGTGATCACCGACCTGAAAATCCGGTGAAGGCGGGAAGGGCATCGAAAGTGGTGAGAGTGGTGACTCAACACCCTCATTTTGCCAGCCCGCCCCCCCCAAGAATCTGCCATATTGGTCATGTGACTGATGACTCATCTCGATTCTCACCTCAATAAACTATCATGGTCATTTTAAACGTGACTCCCCTTCCTAGAAGACACAAGCCAATATTATTTATAATGTCTAGGCACGACCCGTGAGAGAAAATATATTAAATTGAAATTCGGGCTGCCAAATCTCATGGCATACTCATCAGCTACAACCAGCGCAGTTTCCAAGGAAAATAATGTGATTCAAAAGCCTTCCAGTGATAATTTATTCGATTCTACTCGAAGCCTCAACCCCGATTTGAGTGAATCATATGTCAGGTTTATTGTATTGTTTTTGTGGATGCTGTCGCACGTATCTACGCCACAACTCCAACCCCTGGAGCGAAGAGAATGGCCCATAATTTTACACCGCCTGCCTTCGCCCCGCCAGGAATCTTCACGAGCGGCCGACCTGGCGCTCTCGCATCATTCTATATTGAAGAGTACTTCAAGACCTACAACTTCAAGACCTACAACTTCAAGACCTACAGATCCGCCTGGGCCGAATGTTCCGCTCTATATGGATATCCACTCAGTCCTGATCGCGTGCCGCAGCCTTGGAATAAGGGGTGGTCCCAAAATGCAGCGACTGGGCCAGGCGATTACCCGTCGCTCACAACGCATCTCCCGATCACTTCGTCTTTCATACCCCCGGAGATCACGGCCCGGGTCAGATAGCTGGTACCGTGCCATAAAAATCTTAGCCAGCGCAGTCAATTGTAGGCAAGACGTTTTATTATCGCAACCGCTACCAAGCCAGGCCTACCTCTTTGGATCTTTCATACTGAGATACCTAGCCGGGGGTTCTGCAAAGGACACGGTGGATGGAGAGACAAATTTCTTAGATTTACTTACTCTAGCTGTCAACAAATACGCTCCAAAATAACATTTCATATATTCTGTCCTCTCAGATTTACCTGGTGTCTCCATGTGTTACTCTGGCTGCCAGATTTTCAAAGCGAGAATAGACCAATAGCTATGTTTCAAACTTGGACTTGGATATGACAATTAGAAGATAGTGTAATCAACCGAATTGAATGTAGTCATTCCTAAAAACAGATATTTTGCTAGGCTGCTCGAAAGCAATTAATTTCTCCGCTCAAAAATTTCTGTCATTCCAATATGCTTCACATTCAATTTCTCTTCGCTTGTGCATACGGCCTGATAGAGTAGACATGCCATGACCATTTAGTGAAGTGATCCAGGATTAAAGTTCCGGCCACCCAGAAAGCAATCTGCATATACTCATAACATAATGCCGTATAATATCAAATGGAGGGATGGGGATTTGGGAACGGAGCCGTGCTCATCAAAATTGAAGGAGGAAATGGAGTGGACTCATAGCTGCTCGGAAACGGGGCGGACTCGAAGCTGCTTTCAGAATCATCCGGTATATCCATGTAGGGTATGCTATGATACACATGAGATTCCGACCCATGGACTCCAGAACTGGTATTGGTCCAGTTCGAACTATCCAATCCCGGTGTATAAAGAGTCGGCGTGTCCTCATCATTATTCTCGCTAATATGCGGAGTGCTGTCTTCCAGAAGCTCGGGCCATAGCAGCTGGCCACTCATGGCATCATGGTCCATTAAATAACCGAAGAATTTCTTGAACACCGATATACGGAGAAATCTCGACGTGACACGGGTTTCTATCCTTCTTTCCTTCAGCGACATCACTGATAGAGCGTATCGGTCGGCTTCCACAGTATCTATTGAGGGTTTACCACTCCTTTTCTTGACATCCACTTCGTCTGATGCATCTTCAGGGTAGTCGCAAGGTATCTCGGTTGGTAATACGACTGGCGAGGCAGAAAGGTCGACAGCGTTGGGTGTTCGGAGACCCATGGTCATCATTTTCATGTGAAAATGGTTCCAGATATCTGTACGGTTGGGCAGATTCAAGTGCTGCTGGCTAGACGCTGTTCCGAATGCCAAACTACTTGATGATTTGAGCCGCGTCCAATCGGTCATTTCGAATCCGTACTGGAAGCTGAAGCGCCAGAGCTCCAGAATGTAAATTCGAAACCTGGCCTTTCGAGCTGCCGGGTCGAGCGTTGATCCGATTTCCCATAATCCATGAACGCCATTGTCGATTGTCACTTTATCATCGGTACTATTTGGTTGGAGAAATAGCTGCTTCATGACACTCTGTGGTACTTCCAGATAGAGACGGTCTCTGAAAAATGTCTTTAACGACGGAATTGGAGAGTCAATCTCTTTCAATCGGTTCCAGATCTCCCGTCGATCATTTTCCGAAAAACTGGGGAAAAGCACGCCTTCGTCAAACTTCTTCTGCAAGAATTCTTTGTCCTTTTTGGAGACTTTCGGGACTGGGACTCGATGAGGTTGACAGTAACACCGTCAATTAATTGTAAGCTCTGGATGTGGCCTCCAACAATGGCTAGGAATGTGGTCAAAATACTTCTCCAATAGCACGAAATTGCCTGGTATGCCAG